GGGGGGCCCAAGGGGTTTGATATGAACATGGTGCTAGAACGGCCTTAAATACTAAGTTTACCATCAACAAAATACAATATGCAGTCAAGGGGCCCCAGTGTATACAAAAACACTGTGCAGCATGTGTTGTGCGTTCACCCTTCCCTTTCAGCCCCCAGCTCAGCCAGTGCTACAGGGAGAACTTATTATGTTTTTGCAGAATATTTCAGAGCTGCAGTGTTTTTGACCACACCAGAGCCCATTGACTGCATTGTGCATGTTATAAAAAAGATGAACTTGGCCTTGAAATTGCAGCGCACTGACACAATGGCTTTATAGATAAGGTTCTTGCCGTGCACATTAGACAGCAGTAAGTATGCATGTTCTTGGAGTTATCTAATCTGGATGGGTGCAAGTCCAGGGAAGGTTGTGCATTGATGTTAAGTAGTATCAGCTAGATCTGCAGGTTAAGCTGGGTACACATGGATCAAATTTCGACCAATTCAGGAGGAAGCCGCCAAAATTCAATGCATGGGTGACCCTATCTCCTGAACAAAAGTAAATCATTAAATCCAATATGTCGAAGGGACATGCTGGAAAATTGCCAGCTGCAAGTACTGTTCGGGTATTCGGACAGTGGCAGGCGGGACATACGGTAGTGGGAGATTCGATTATCCAATCTGTTAGCCTGGATGGAGGAATCTTTCAGATTTTTTTTTTGCTCAGCCTCGCAGGCTGAATGGAAAAATATCTGTGTATGTGTGTGTACCCGGCTTTAGGCTACAATCTCATTGTGCAAGCTCCTCTGCAATAACATAAACTGAATGGACTGTTTAGGTAGGCCCTTGTCTATTTGCTTGTGTAAAGGTGGCCAGAGAACAGGTCGGCCCAGTAGATCAGGAGGTGAGCGAACACATACCGGGTTCGCTCGCCTCTCGATCCTGTCACGGCTCTCTGCCGTGACAGGGGGAGGGGCTGGATTCCCCTCTCCGATCTGCCAGCGCTGACTGGCGGAACGGACGGGGCGGGTACAGCTCGCTCTGCCTCTAGATAGGCAGAGCCAGCTGTCACTCACGCAGCTGGGCGGATCCAGTCATCTAAGTCGCGATCCGCTCCGGCGTCTCGCGGTATACTGAGCTTAGGGTAACGGGAGGACGCTAGTTTGTGTCCTCCCGTTACCCTAAGGAGAACTATGGGGAAAAACACTGACCCCATAGTTCTCCTTTAAATTTGTTATGTCACTTACACCTGTGTTATCAGATTTTGTCTATAATTTTATTGTAAATGTGGCTATAAGCTAATGTACTTAAGGTAAGCGACTTTTACACAAGTTAAAAAAAAGATCTGTCACATTACAGAAGTGTTACAGAAAGCCAGGCAGACTGTTTTAAGTTACATAAAGACCTCATCATACAGAAAATATTGCAGATTTCACCATATAGGAAGACTGTGCCATACAGATAAATAGATAGACAGTGCTATATAAAGGGAGACTGCCAGGGACTGTATCACAGTAGAAGAGTACAATGAGGAAAAAAATAAAGGTAATAAGATTTAGGAACACAAAATATATACTGTACAAGATATACTGAGCTAAAAGAAAAAATAAAGCTGCAAATCCCCAATGTTTTGGTGTCCAATGACCCTGTGTTAAAGAGAGGTGTAGTGTAAGTGTTAAAGAGAGGAGTAGTGTGAGTGTTAAAGAGAGGAGCAGTGTGAGGGTTAAAGAGAGGAGTAGTGTGAGTGTTAAAGAGAGGAGTAGTGTGAGGGTTACATACAGGGTTAGAGCTGGGAGATTACATAAAATATTAGCATTAGGTTTACAGGGAAGGTTAGTAATAAAGTGAGGCCTAATGTTCCATGGCGGGGAAGCATTATGTTACAGAGAGGGTAAATGTGAAGATTACAGTAAGTGTTAGGATTACAGGGAAGGTTAGGGCTTGTTAACACCATGTTCACTGACCTGCCTCGACCAATGCCGGCTCAACTCAAGGACACTTAGAAACATTTGTTTCCTATGTGTCCTTTTTACATCATAAAGATGTATTGAGGTGCTTTGTGTTGTGTAAAAGTGCAGCTTGTCTATATTTTAAAGCAGCACAACGTACATCACCATATGTCAACGCACAGCATAGAAGTGAATGAAGTGTCATTTTGTGACACTTCAATAAAGTTAAAAAAAAGTGAAGGCTGGTGTGAACGAGCCCTTGGTGTTGTAGTTACAAGGATGGTTAGGGTTACAGGAAGGGTTAGTGATAGGGTTACAGGAAGGGTTAGTGATAGGGTTACAGGAAGGGTTAGTGATAGGGTTACAGGAAGGGTTAGTGATAGGGTTACAGGAAGGGTTAGTGATAGGGTTACAGAAAGGGTTAGTGATAGGGTTACAGGAAGGGTTAGTGTTACGGGAAGGGTTAGTGATAGGGTTACAGGAAGGGTTAGTGATAGGGTTACAGGAAGGGTTAGTGATAGGGTTACAGAAAGGGTTAGTGATAGGATTACAGGAAGGGTTAGTGATAGGGTTACAGGAAGGGTTAGTGATAGGGTTACAGGAAGGGTTAGTGTTACGGGAAGGGTTAGTGTTACAGGAAGGGTTAGTGATAGGGTTACAGGAAGGGTTAGTGATAGGGTTACAGGAAGGGTTAGTGTTACGGGAAGCGTTAGTGTTACGGGAAGGGTTAGTGATAGGGTTACAGGAAGGGTTAGTGATAGGGTTACAGGAAGGGTTAGTGTTACGGGAAGGGTTAGTGTTACAGGAAGGGTTAGTGTTACAGGAAGGGTTAGTGATAGGGTTACAGGGAGGGCTAGTGTCTGGGGGGAAATTAGGGATGCTGTCTGCACTGGGAGCTCTGCACTAAAACTAGTATAGCTAATCTTTTTGTGCTAATGTACCAGGTTTTGTTTTAGTCACATGGTCATCTTACAGTTAGAATCAAGATTTTTACCTGTGGTCAGAAGCCTGTAGATGTGCACAGTGTGCTGCTGACCATCTCTCCATACACGAGCCATTGCCTAAAAAAAAAGTGTAATATAAACATTTTAACACTAAAGGTTGATTCAGATCATAGTAAAAGTAAAGAAAATGACTAATCCTTGAGCTGAGGAGATTATGAAGACATCAGGGTGTAATTTTGAAAATATTATGCCATACAGTTAAAGGGTACCGTAAGTTCACTTTCCCAAGTGAATTTGGGAAAATGGAAATACCCACTGAAATCTGGCCCCCCTCCCCCCAAACTATACTTCCCTTTTGGCGAACGCTCCTTCCCCTCCCCCTCCGCCGGTACGGGTATACTATCCATACCCCGTACTGCCGTTTAGCGCAGCCCTGCACTATGGATTTAGAATTTCGCTTGCAAATGGAGAGCACTCATTGGTCAGTGCAGTCACGTGACTGTGCTGACCAGTGAGAAGCACTTCTGACTGTGCTGACCAATAAATAATGCTTGCTAGGAAGGCAAGATTTGAGCGGGTAATTACATTTTCCCAAATTCATTTTGGGAAGTGAACTTACCCTTTAAGTATTAAGTTATCGACTAAAAGGTGTATTGTGAGAACGCTGAATACTACATCAGATCCATAACAACACCGCCACCCACTGGCAGAAGTCCATGTACACGTCTTCTTCATATGACTGCAGAGCAAATAGCAATTAGGTATAGCAACCCTCAACAACCATTCAGGAATTGACTTTCAGTACTCTGATTACTGTACACTGTATCAAGTTAGGCTAATACCCATTTTCCTTGAATTACAGAGTGTAAATACTTGTACCCCGAGGAGGAAACATTACACGGTCAGCTCTTTAGGTTCAGGGACTGAGAAGAATGGCCCAATGGCCTTTGTAAAGTGCTGAATAATATATCACAGCTTTATAAATAACATCACAAAATAAACCAAAATATTTGGACAGATTCTTAATCATAAAACTGCAAAGCCTCCTTACTGAAATGTGGGCTGGGTAACAGAACAGAATCTACGGACCTGTATGTCGTTAGCAGGATTCCAGTCTATATCATACAGAATTAAATGTGATGCCCCAATCAGGTTCAGGCCCACGCCGCCAGCTTTAGAACTCAGCAGGAAGATGAAGTCTGAGGAATATTTGCTGTTAAATCCGTCCACAATTCTCTGCCTATGACTGACCGGCGTTTGTCCATCCAGTCTGGTGCAATTGTACCCGTGCCGCTGGCATAGTGCTTGCAATATGTTTAACGTCTGCGTATAGTTAGACACAAGGACTACTCTGCAAGGCATAGTAAATGCGGGTTACACATTTGGAATTTAAACATACAGACGAAAGGTAAAAACTAAACTATTAAAGCTAATGTTTATATTTTTCCTTACCCTTACCCCCTTTATTGACATGTTAATTACATTATTAAAATTAAAGCGGTTTTTTAACATACCTTATCTTAGACTAGTGGTCGCCAACCTTTCAGACCCCATGGACCACTAAATTCATCATTTTAAATCCCGCAGACCACTAATATGAATTTTTAAAAATATATATTTATTCTCATGTTTTTTGCATCCTCATATATAAATATATTCCTTCTCATATGTGTGTGTAATATATATATATTACATGCCGAAAGTGCCATTTTCCTGCCGATACATCGGCGCATCCATGATTTCTTTCCTCCCTGCTGGGCGCTGCTCTGTGTCCCATCGCGGAGGAGAGAAAGTGACAGCCGGCCGAGAGCTGCGTGAGGAGAGCCTTGTGAGCGGCCGGTGTCTGTCCTCCCACACCGCTCGGCCGCCTATCACAGTCCCGCAGAGCTGTGTGGGGGCGGAGACAGCGCTGTGACAGGAGGCTGGGCTCTCCTCTCGCGGCGCTCACTCAGCCTCCTGTGACTGTGTGTGTCAGAGAGGGTAGCAGGCTACACATATATACATACATACATACATACATAGGTGCGGGTGTGTCTGCAGGAGTGGCAGTGTTGGTGGAGGGAGGGAGCGGTGCCGCCCGCCCCAGTAATAATATTGTTCCCCCCCTATCAAATCTACCACTGGCCCTGCCGGCGGCGCCTGGGGCACATGCCCTCCCTAGCTTTAGCACTGCCCCCAACCCCACACTGAGCCACTATTACCTGGCTTCTCCCCCCTTTTTCTATGTCCCGCAGCCTGCTCAGTTGGGTACTAACAAGATGCCCCGCCTCCTGCAGAGCCTGCACTCCTTGTGACAGCCGCTGCTTGAGTCAGTGAGAGGCAGCCCTGAAGCCTCCGTGCCGCTTCAATGACGGCCCAGCCTGCACGGCATCAGAGGGGCCCGGGGACCACCAGTTGGTGACCACTGTTTTAGACTACACTCCTCTACACAATGCAGAAGATTATGGCTGTGAGAGGGCCCAGCAGGGTGCTGGGTGTAGCTTCCAGAAAACATCACAGCACCCTGCCCCAGTACTTCTCTCAAGAGACTTCAGTCCTGATTCTCCTCTTGGGAAGAGTTATGTATATCTCAAAAATGTCTTGATGGGTGGATGTCAGTCTGGAGGAGTGGGTGTTCCTGGGCAGACTGCATTTGCATGCAGACCACCATAGGTAATGCCCACATGTGATGCTGAGCCTTCAAGATTAAAAGAACTGAAATGCAATGACTGAAAGGGGATGGCTGGTGAGAAAAGGACTAGATGATGTTGTAAGTCCTCCAGCCAGGAAATGAGTTGGGTTCTATCTGACTTGCTGCCACTTCCAATGCACATTGTGAGACGATCACAGTGCAGTAAATTTAAAAAAACCAGTTTCAGTACAGGAGAAGGTCCTCTACAACTGTGCAAGACTCCGAAGGTAAAGCTGGAGTTCAGATAAAACCACTTGAGTCCCGCTGCCATTTTAAAGCAGCTCTGGTGGTTGAAACTATTCTTTCAACCACCGTTTTAAAATGGCAGCCAGTCCCACTAGCATGTAGGCTAGAAACTCTGACTATCAGTGACAGCCGGGGTTCAGTGTTCAGCATAGGAGCTGAGACAATCAGCTTCTGGGATTCTACAGCCGGATCCATAGGAGCGCACTGAAGAAACAAATGTAAAAAGATTGCTTCCACATTCTATTCATATCTGGAGTGTAGTGACGTCACGGCGTGTCCTCCGAGTATGGAGGTCGGGACAGTGCCTCCCTGCATGAAGCAACGCAACAAACGCAGCCATCAATAGCTTATTATTAGAAGTCATCTGCATGGGCGGGTCTGGATCTGGTCTTCACTGATCTGACCCAGACCCCCATGAAGTAAAAAAAAAAAGGGAAATAGACAAAATAAAAATGAATAAAATATATATATATATCCTAAAATTTAAAATATTGGATGATCTGCATGACATTTGCGTTCACTGCGCAAGCATCAAATCCTATTTGAACTTTTAGCAAATGAAAACCTGTGAAAAAGTCAACGTTGTGCTAATTTGTTCCCTTGCTGCATGCACTTCTTTTTGCAGATTGCACTGGACCGGAATGCAGGCACCAATATGCCAAATGCCATTGACTTCAATGCACTGCCACGCCCCTTCTCACCCCAAAACAAAGTGAGCCGGCCGGGTTGCGTTCCAGAGGCTGACTGCTCTGGAACGCACTCTTTATGGTGTGACTGGGCCCTCTACCCGTCTTAATCTTATCTTAATGTTGTAATCACAATTTACTACTATTGTTTTCACCCTGCCTTCATCACAATGAAAGGGGATCAAAGCTCTACTAAACGAAAACACATACTGTATGTTCACTCAGATCTTTAACATTCTGCTATGTTGCATAAAAGTTTCACTAATGTGATATCATTCCCATGTCCTAAAAATCCTTCTGCTTATATACCTACCTCTCAGATGGACTGTGTTCTTTTATTGCTGCCAAAAGCTTCATTAAAACCTGCAGTTTTCCAGACTCAGACTCTGATACCGTCTCTGTATTATAACTATGTGGAAACAGATCATATAAACTTTCATAGAAGCTCAGTTCCTCCTCATTCGGATTTGAAGTCTTCTCCTGGTGAAAGAAATAACTATTATTGGTGACCAGCTCTGCACAAATCTGCAATGACATCTGAATTAAAACAAAACCTTGTGTGACCTATGTCATTCCTTCTGCTATCCCATCCTTTATTGCTCACTCTCTGAGGTCACAGTTCTCTAGTAACTTTGACAAAAAACAGACTATAGAAAAAAAGACAGAAATCAGACTTTGGAGGTCAAGCCGGTTCCTACACGGCCTGTTTTACAGAGTTTCACAGCTGCTATCCAGAGATTATTATTATTATTATACAGGATTTATATAGGGCCAACAGTTTGCACAGCACTTTACAATATAAGGAAGACATTACAATCACAATACAATTCAAGACAAGATGGTAAGGAGGGCCCTGCCCCTGAGGGCTTACAATCTAAAAGGGAGGGGGAAGTGATATATGAGGAGGTAGCTGTGTGTGGATTAATTGTTTGAGAACATGATGGTACAGTGGTTAGGTTGAGGTGGGATAGGCTTCCCTGAAGAGATGAGTCTTAAGGGATCGCCTAGAGGCAGTCAAGGTGGGAGATAGACGGACAGGTTGGGGTAAAGATGCTAGATTCTAGATGCTAAAGGATTGCTAGAGAGCTGTGACATGTGAGAGGTACTTTAAAGCAGACTGTATGCCCAGGCCCAGGTAGCAAGATGAATGGCTTGGGTTAGTTTTAACATATGACTTTACCAACAAAGTTAATTATCATTCAACTCATTATTGAACTCAAGAGGTTGTGAACATTATCATCAGGGCTTGAAAAATCCACTCATCCGCTCGTCTGTGACGAGAGGACGGTGGAGCCCGACGAGCAGCTTCCCGGCCAGCCGTTGTAATTACACGGCCGGCCAGGAGCTTTACATTCAAGCGAATGTATTAGCAGCTGTCACTGCCGTTGCCGGTCCCGAGATCCGCTGTGCCCGATGCAGCCGGGACCGGCACGGCTCTGTGACAGGAGATCAAAGGGAGTTCAGTATACGAACTCCCTTTGATCACCTCTCAGTCCCCGAATGCAGGAATCACTTCCTGCATTCACTGTCACTCTCCAGCTACAGAAGCTGATCTCTGCTTCATCAGCTTCTCTGGGGGTCCCTAGGTGACATTAGGGGTCTTGGAGACCCCTGATGTCTCCATAAAGAGGACCGGTCATGTAAATTGGCTATTACATAGGGGCTTCTTAGCCCCCCCCCATGTAATAGCAATAAAGCTGTGTGTAAAAAAAGAAGTAATAAAATTAAAGAATCATAAAAAAAAATAAAGCATAACAAAATTAAAAAAGAAAAACATCAAAAGTCCCCGCCCCCCACATACAGATATGAGTCGGGTGCGCCTACGTGCGCAAACGACGATTGCGCCTATTGTACCGCACATGTTACATATCGCCACAAATGTCGGAGTGAGAGCAATAATTTTAGAGCCATTAATCACTGATAATACTAAACTGATGAGCAATAAAAGCGTTTTAATTGTTGCTTATGGGCGTTTTTTGCGATTTTGCGGGCGCACGCAGTTTTAAGGCTTGACATGTTTGGTGTCTATTTACCCGCCGTGACCCCGAATTTTATGTTTTACTAAAAATATGGGTAAGAATAAATGTTTTATAACATAACGTAGGGAAACTTTGTTTTTTTTTTACATTTATGGTACTTTTTTTCATTATATAGGGGGAAAAAGCTCTATATGTCTCCAAAAAATGTTAACATAAATTGCAAGGCTATAGTCCGGTCATGCTGACTGGTGAAATGTTTGACTGACTGGTGAGACACCCTACATTTTTTAAGCCCTGATTATCATGATTAAACAGCTTTCGATCCGAGTCTACAGCCAGGCATGGCTTTATAGAACTAGCAACAAAATTCAAATTTCTTTGCCTTGCAACTATTTGTAGAGAGGATCTCCCAGAATCCGTATTATCCGTCAGCCTCTCTCTGAGCTATACACAGGTCAAATAGCAGAGAGCCTGCTGTATGGAATATGGCAAACACAGAGCTCTACATATCTAAAAGGTCAGGAGCACAGTTGTCTGTGTAAAGATCAGGTTTTTTGAACTCACTGTAAAGTCCTTTTCTTCAAATTTACGGAGGGACACAGGATTCAGAGCCTTTGGGTTATTCTGCCGCCTAACCCTTCACATTCCCAAAATGCCTCAGTTTTGTAAAACGGCAGCACGTGGAATAAGATCATAAACACAGAGGGGTGGGGCCGACGTCTCTTAATGAACTGAAAGAATGCAGGATTCAGAGACAATTGGGACATCCAAAAGCAGTAAAACAAAACAAAACAAAACAAAGAAAACACTAACAGGCCCATCTATACACAGACTGGCCATTACTTGCAGCTCAGAGAGCCACCTAAGACCCCATTCACACAGCGACATGGAGAATTGCGTGTTTTTCCACACGATTTCGTACTGGGCGGCATTGAGCTACATTGCGCGATATTGAGCGACAGTGGACATTTTGTCATGCTACGTAGCGTGATTTTTGGGAGGGACAAGCTTAAATAATGATTTGTCTGAGCTACCAAGAAATGACGGAACGAGAATTTGTTTCCCCTTACCGAGCATCATCATGAGAGAATCAGCCTTTCTAATGTAGACAGTGGCTGTGACATAGACATGCACTGCTCGAATTACATCCAGACAATGAAGGGAAATCTTCTTCTTATGTAATGGGGCTGGACAGAAAGAGAGGAGTACAAAGCGTACATCAGGTTGAACTGATCCCACGGAGCCACCAGAGCATCCACTGCTTCTGCCGGAGGCTCTCTGCACCTGGGGACAAACCTATCTAGCTTATTGTTGCATCTGAAGGCCAGATAGTCCACATCCTCCAGCATCCCCCAGAGATTTCTAGTGTTCTAGAGACAGCAAAATCACTCAAAACACCAGTATGTAGATTGGGTAGTTGAGATTGCTCCAGTGTCCCTGCACCATTTGGGTGTTTAGGATCCCTTTTCAGCCTGGCAGGCTAGTGTCTGTCCTGATAATCTTCCAAGAGAGCAGAAGCATTTCCTCATCTCCAGATCTAGAGCAGGATTCCTGAGCCACAAAGCCAGACGCAACCTGATCTTTGGCGTTAGGCATATCGGTTTGTCTAGAGACTGAATTGGCTTTTCCTATGTTGAAAGGATGTGAGTTGAAGTGGTCTGGAGTAAAACTAGGCAAACAGAATTGCCTCAAAAGGGATACCATTAGCCCCATGACTCTCATGCAAAAATGAAGAGTTGGCTGAAGACTGTGGGAAAGGAAAGCCTGAAGTTTTTCTTACAGAAGAAAAACTCTGGCTTGAACTGTGCCTAGGATAAGACCCAGATACTCCAAGCAATTAGTCATCTCCAATGTAGACCTCTGAATATTACAGATCCAATCAACCCTTTTCAAGGTCTGAACAATAAGCACCACATTATTGGTCAGGATATGTGGCCACTGTTCCCTCAACAGGAGGTCATCCAGATATCCCACAGCGGGGATACCCTGAGCGTGTAACAAGGCAAGTACAGGGGCTAGAATTTGGTGAATACACGGGCCACAAACAGAAGGGCCACAAACTAAATGAAGCAGAGTGAAGGCAGGGCTGATGTGCTGGAAATATGGGGGCATACCTTCATGCCAAAGAAGACATACCTGCAGGTTTGGGGGATTTAAGAGCCCAGGGCTTACGATGAAACTGGGATCCTGGCTTAAGTTTTGCCTTATGAACTAAATGCTGTGAGTAATGAAAGGAACTCTTCTTTGCCTCAGGGTATGGGTAATTCTTCTCTGATTGAGCCCTAGGGTTCTTTTGTTGGAGTAGATGAGTAGTACTCTTAACCCTGGTAACATATCCTTGATGAGGAGCTCCCAAGATATGTTCATCCTCTAAGGGCGTGTACAGCAAAAACATTTTGACACCCACCACAAGCAGAAGGGAGAAACACCCTGGACAGGGCTGAGTCCAAGACCTGGCCCAGAGACGATGGGAAGGCTGAACTTTAATACTCAAAAGGGTTAAAACCTACTACACCTAAATTACAACCAAAACTCTGTGTGGGGGTAGAAGCTTTTACTGCTATCTGTGAGTTATCCCCTCAGTTTCTGTGTGATCATTGGGAGGAAGGAGTGAACGAACAGGCCACAGGCAGCAATAACATTTCTCTATTGGAGAAATGTGGAAAAGTAAGAATTTCTGTCAAGCCTTTATTGCTGTCTATGTTCCCATTTGAAAGATTGTTCTACCTTTATTAGTGGCCAGTGGGACAGGAAATGAGAAGTAATCCACCCAGTAAAGATACAGGTAGCAATAAAAACCTCAGAGGATCAAACTGTTCCATCAGAACAAAAATTGTAATCATAGTTAATTGCAGAAGTAGAAAAAGCCCAACTTCATATAAAATAGTGAGTACATTATTGCATTAGTACTGCATACAGTATCACCAGAGCGCAAGCATCCCACTGACCTGGAGAGTCTTGTAGAGAAGCCTTGGGTGGTTACAAAGTTTCTTGAGTGCACCAATACAGACCAGATGGGGGCTGTTCTCCCCCAGCCCTTGTAAGCAGGATCTTACAAGACCGGAATTGAGAAGTTTTCTGTACAAATTAAGCTGAAATATGGAGGGCTTGCAGAAGATTATGGTCTCGATCTTAGGAGGGAGAAATTTATTAATGACCTCCTGTGTTCTTCGGAGGATGAAAAGGCTTGTCAGACGGGCCAGTTCTGAAGCTCTTTCTTCTCCTAAACTTTTTTGTTCCTAAGCCATGGAAAAACCAGAAGACAGCTTAGCATGAAAGGAAACAGTAAATGAAATTAGATAAACAGTTTAGCTTACGAGTGCAGAATGGATGGTTAGGTCACAAGGAGCACAGCTATCTGCAGTAAAGTCAGAACACTTAAAAGGGATGTTCGGGAGTTCCAGCTCCAAAAGTGACAGCAGGATACTTTCTACCCTTTACTGCAAACACAAAATGAGAGACAGCTGCTAAAAAGTGTCTGCAGACTGGATTCTGCACTTTGTATTTTCAAATATAGTTCTGGAGTAAAAACGTAATAAGCTATACAGCTGTAAATTAGCTATAAAACTTTTCACAGGCCCTTATGGGGGCACATTTTATGAGAAGTTTGTATAACGCATTCATGTTTTGCCTATGGCAGCTACTATCCACTAATATTTTGCTCTCCTAAGATGACCTATTCACTTTAACTCTTAAAGGTGCCCATACACCTGCCGATTATCATACGATAATCCCGGGTGATCCCGCGATCGTACGATAATCGGCAGGTGTATGGAAGGCGTGCAACCGTTTCTACTGTACGGTCGCGCGTCTTTTGTCTTCCGAGCACGCTTGAAAACCTGCTGAAAATCGTACGATTTTCGGCGGGTTACTGGCGTGCTCGGAATACAAATGCCAAACGGGCCGGTGTGCGCAAGCGCACACTGTCCACTCAGCATTGGAATCATCGCAAGCCCTCCCCTCAGTGGGGAGGGCTTGTCATGATCGCAAGTACGATCTGCCTGTCCAAGATGGGCAGATCGTACAAGATTTTAATTACAACGAAAGTCGTGCGATGGTTGTAAGGTATATGGCCAGCTTTACTCAGATATACAACAGCTGCAGGGCAGGTCCATTCATGGCTACCAAGTGCATGTGAATTCCTACTATAACTTTGTGTATAGGGTCAGTTTTCCACCTCACATTTTTATGCCTCTGTATTCTTCTCTGTCATCTATCAAGTTTTAGACTCCAACAAACAGCACTTATTTGTTTGCTTCTATTCTGCAATTTTAATTTATATGTAAACAAAATCTATATAAGCTATATAACATGTTACTATATTTCCAAACGTTTTTTTAAAATATTTTTATGTCTGTAGTTTTCATTAAAAAAAATACCTGGTAATGCTACTGGAAAAGCCCTTTAGGAACTTCCTGTTAAGGGGTGACAATGTTTGTCCCCGTCTCCAAACGGAGCTCCTGCATTGTCACTTCGACACACAGGCTTCTGAAGGAGACTACAGGTGGCTGTTTTAGCACACATTATGAAGGCATGGACCACTGTTTTTACCCTCAGAAATCCTACCCTGAGGAATTCCATTCAGCCATGGCTGGTGTGCATGCATGTAGGCAGGAAGTGTTTGCAAAGAGGGTACAGCAGACCAGCAGCACTGAGATGAAACAAATAGGTATTTTATGAAAGGCTGTTTCATACACAGTGCTTAAAGGAGAACTATGGGGTCAGTGTTTTTCCCCATAGTTCTCCTTAGGGTAACGGGAGGACACAAACTAGCGTCCTCCCGTCACCCTAAGCTCAGTATACCGCGAGCTACAGCTCGCGTTATACTGAGACGCCGCAGCGGATCACGACTTACATGACGGGATCCGCCCAGCTGCGTGAGTGACAGCTGGCTCTGCCTATCTAGAGGCAGAGCCAGCTGTACCCGCCCCCTCCCCGTCCGTTCCGCCAGTCAGCGCTGGCGGATCAGAGCGGGGAGAGGGGAATCCAGCCCCTCCCCCTATCACGGCAGAGAGCCGTGACAGGATCGAGAGGCGAGCGAACCTGGTATGTGTTCGCTCACCTCCCGATCTACTGAGCCGACCTGTGACAGTCTCATTGTCACAGGTCGGCTAGAACTATGAGGTGAGTGAAAAGCACTCACCTCATAGTTCTCCTTTAAGCAAACTAAATGTTAGTTAGGGTTTACATCTACTTTAACACAAATATATGTACAAACATGCTAGTTCTACAGTAATCAGCCATAATGTTATGACCACCTACCCAATATTGAGTAGTTCCCTCTTTTGCCACCAAAACAGCCCTGCCCTGTCAAGGCATGAACTCCACTAGACCTCTGAAGGTATGCTGTTGTATCTGGCACCAAGTCATCAGTAGCAGATCCTTTAAGTCCTGGAAGTTGTGAGGCGGGGCATCCATGGATTGGATTGAGATCTGGAGAATTTGGAGGCCACCTCAACTCACTGTTGTGTTCCTCAAACCATTCTTGCAGTGTGGCAGGGAGTATTATTCTACTGAAAGAGGTCACTGCCATCAGGGAATACAGTTTTCATGAAGGGGTGTACTTGGTCAGCCAACAATGTTTAGGTAGGTGGTATGTGTCAAAGTAACATCCATATGAATGGCAAGACCCAAACAAACTAAATGTTAGTTAGGGTTTACATCTACTTTAACACAAATATATGTACAAACATGCTAGTTCTACAGTAATCAGCCATAATGTTATGACCACCTACCCAATATTGAGTAGTTCCCTCTTTTGCCACCAAAACAGCCCTGCCCTGTCAAGGCATGAACTCCACTAGACCTCTGAAGGTATGCTGTTGTATCTGGCACCAAGTCATCAGTAGCAGATCCTTTAAGTCCTGGAAGTTGTGAGGCGGGGCATCCATGGATTGGATTGAGATCTGGAGAATTTGGAGGCCACCTCAACTCACTGTTGTGTTCCTCAAACCATTCTTGCAGTGTGGCAGGGAGTATTATTCTACTGAAAGAGGTCACTGCCATCAGGGAATACAGTTTTCATGAAGGGGTGTACTTGGTCAGCCAACAATGTTTAGGTAGGTGGTATGTGTCAAAGTAACATCCATATGAATGGCAAGACCCAAGGTTTCCCAGCAGAACATTGCCCAAACCATCACACTGCCTCTGCCGGCTTGCATTCTTCCTATAGTGCATCCTGGTGCCACCTTTTCCCCAGGTAAGCGACACACATGCATCAAGCCATCCATATGATGTGAAAGAAAAATTGATTCATTAGACCAGGCCACCTTCTTCTAGTACTCCATGGTCCAGTTCTGATGCTCACATGCCCATTGTAGGCACTTTTGACGGTGGATACAAGTCAGCATGGGCACCCTGACCGGTCTGTGACTACACAGCCCCATACGCAACAAACTGCAATGCACTGTGTGCTCATACACCTATCAGAACATGCATACCCCCATCATACCTTGCATGCTTTACACTGCATTTTACTATGCTTACTTTGGATGCTGAAGGCTCCCGGGATTGTAAAATAGGATCCTCGTATATTTTTCTGTAAGTAGACAACAAACCAAGTATTCCCGGGTTTACAAAATTTATTAAAGCAAAAAACTCCTGCAGATCATTTTGTACAGGGGTACCTGGAAGAATAAACACATAATATCTACTTTGTGTAAAGAAATTGGGAGTATGTGTTCATATGTCACAGAAAGCCAGGGCATTTGTAATGTAGGTATTAGTTTATTGTGCAGAACATAAACTAAGTTAAAATTAAATAACTACATGAGTAAATAGGTCACCTAATTCAGACAATTTCAGCGACGACCAGATCTTTTTCAAATTGATCCAGTTATTCCCCCAATATAAGGCTGGTGCTTGGGGTATCTGGTACACAATCATCCAACTTGAGCTATTGTTCTACAGACAATTGTTTGGCTGTCAAATCACGCACAAGTGCTTCAAACACTGTCTAAAGTACATGGTCAGCTTAGTTTTGATAAGTAGCTGATGTTTTACTAATCAATAAATACTGACACTACAGGTGAAACTCGAATAATTAGAATATCGTGCAAAGTTCATTTATTTAACTAATGCAACTTAAAAGGTAAAACTAATATGTGAGAGAGACTCATTACATACAAAGCAAGATAGTTCAAGCCGTGATTTGTCATAATTGTGATGATTATGGCTCACAGCTCATGAAAACCCCAAGAACCCCAAATCCACAACCTCAAAAAAGTAGATTATTACATGCAATCAATAAAACAAGGATTGTACATAGAACAATATCGGACCTCTGAAAAGTACAGGCATGCATATGTACTCAGTACTTGGTTTGGGCCCCTTTTGCAGAACTTACTGCAATTACTTTTGCACGATATTCTAATTATTCGAGTTTCACCTGTATATTGGGTCTAGGGTTGGATTCCTATCAAGAACACAAAGGCTCAATCTGAATGGCGCTGGTCTGTTCTCAAAATGTCCTTAACCACTTGCTGACCGGGGTGTTTACACCCCCTTCCTGTCCAGGCCATTGTTCAGTATTCAGTGCTGTGGTACTTTGATTGACTTTTATTCCATCATTTTAACTGAAATTAATTTTATACCATTTTTCTGGGACCGACAGCTTTCTTTTGGTGGTATTTAATCACCACTGAGGTTTTTATTTTTTACTATGTAAGAAAAAAAAGTACCGAATATTTAAACAAAAAAACTTTTTCCCTTTATTATTTTAGGAAACATTTATTTATTTTTACCCAATTTTTTGGTAAAATATAAAAGACGGGGTCACGTCGGATAAATAAGAAAAAAGAAAACTTGCCGCACTCCTTACCAGGACTCCCCACAAAAAGACAGGTGCTCGAAATGACTGCGGATGGCGCCGCCACACATAGACAAAAAGGAAGACGTCACCAGCACTCCAACAACGATAATAACAGCAATTTGATGCTCATTTATTGACTGAAGCCAATGAGAGACAGCATCTGTCAATAAATGAGCATCTAATTGCTATTATCATCGTTGTTGGAGTGCTGGTGACGTCTTCATTTACGTCGGATAAATAGACAACAAATATGTCAAGCCTTAAAATTGCTCGCGCCTGCGAAATGGCGAATTTCAATTTTTTTTAACTTCTTGTTTTTTCTTTACACTTAACTTTATTGTTATCACGTAGGGTGCTAAGAAGTACCGTATGTGATACATTTTTGTCACTGAGAGAAGCCTATAACTGGTAGAGATGCTTAAAGCATTGCCTGGGCAAAAAGCATTGTCCCAACTATGAGCGGCATTACAGATTTTTGCTTTCTTAAAGTGACACTAAACTCAGGAGTTAAATCTTAAAAATGCATTCGAGTACCATAACTATTAGCAAAAATGTATTTTATTTGTGTATCACTTGGCTGTAGATCCTCCAATCATCTCTGAATTGGTGCTGACACTGTCCTTCCTTCTGATGGGTGGCTGCTTTTGTTCCCCATGGTCCATGTGTGGACCCATCCTGTGATGGACTACAATCTCCTGTACAGTTTAATCATTTGTATGGAGATTGTAGTCCATCACAGGAGTGAGCTTGGAGTGGTGACCACTTTACAACACACACAGCCGAGTGATACACAAATAAAATACATTTTTGTTAACAGTTAAGGTACTTGAATGCATTTTTAAGATTTAACTCCTGAGTTTAATGTCACTTTAATGTGCTGCCACTATTGTTGATACATATAGTTCATATTTACCTGAGAGAATAATTCTTTTGCTGCAAGACAAACTGCTAAGTGCTGTTGTGGTTTTTATGGAGCTGTTCTTTAACCGATGCCCCTCGTCACAGACAATTAGGTCGAAGCCCAGGCTCTGAATTTGGTCCATAGAGCGTAACAACATCTCGTAGCTGATGATCAGCACAGGATACAAGGGAGAGTTGATGAATTCTTCCACTTTGTGATCCTGTACACAAGCAGACCATGATAACAATAACAGACATTGGATTCATGATTTATACATAAGAGAATTTTGCATCATACACATCTAGAAAGTGGTTTCACAGGAGACACAAACTAGTTCAATGATTTAAGACTATTAAAGTAGAGCCAAACTCTCACAAAAGAATACTTTATTTTGTAGAGCACTGTAAGCAAAACAGAATTGCATTATGATTATTATTATTTTTTTTTACAAAAAGAGATTCCCCCGCACTGTGAACATGTTTTCGTTCCCCGCACTGTGCCCATCCTGTAGACTCTCTGTATGAACCTACCATGAATGGGTGTGCACTCCAGTAGAATGTGTCAGAGCATGGCTGCATGTAGTCCAAGCCAGGTGTAAAAGGAAACGGTGACAACATTGCAGCTAAACCAAATAAATGTTGTCATGAAGTTTCTCTGGAAACACCTTGCAGATATGATTCTTCTGCAAACAGTATAAATATATATTTATAATTTTTGGTAACATGAACATGTGCAGCAACTTATTTGGCTTAAAGTGACATTAAAGGCAAACATTTTTTTCCCTCCCCCAATGTTAATTAAAGCACTTACCTTAAATGTCTCTTAATCTGAACTTCTTCTTCTTTCCTGCTGTTTTCCTTCTCTCCAACGCTGCTGCGGGTCTCCGATCCAGCGCTGACTCCTCTGTCCTTGCTGGCACTTCCTGTCCCATGGTGTCTGCATGCGCGTCCACGCGTCCATATACTTACCTTGCGTCTCTCCTCGTCTACCGGCCGAAAATCCGAACTGCTCATGCGCCCGCCCCAAGATGCTTTGCGGCTGCCCGAGAACTTTCAGATTTTCGGACTGGAGCGCGCGTCGAAGACAGAGGTAAGTTTAAACCGCTTTTAAAGCAGTTTTTTTTTTACTTTTTGCATATATCTACTGCTAGCTAGCAGTAGATATATGCAAAAAAAAACCGTGAGGGAACCCTTTAACCAGTTGACATCCGCGGTGTTAAACCCCCTTCCCATCCAGGCCATTTTTCAGTATTCAGCGCTGCAGTACTTTGACTGACATTTATTCCGTCATGCAACGCTGTACTGAAATGAGTTTTATAACCTTTTTCGGGGGCAGATAGAGCTTTCTTTTGGTGGTATTTAATCACCACTGGGGTTTTTATTTTTTACAATATTAAGGAAAAATTACCGAAATTTTAAAAAAAAACAGTTTCCCCTATATTAAATGATAAAACATTTATTATTACCCAATTTTTTGGTAAAATATAAAAGATGGGGTCACGTCGGGTAAAAAGACACTAAACATGTCAAGCCTTAAAATTGCGTGCGCGCGCGAAACCTCAAAAAACGATAATACCCAAAATTGGCCATAGGCGACGCTTTAAAAGCTGTTACCGCTCATCAGTTTAGTGTTATCAGTGATTGATGGCCCTAAAATGATTGCTCTCACTGCGACGTTCGCGGCGATATGTAACATGTGTAGCGCAATTGTAATTTTTGCGCGCTGGGGCACCGGACGCGTATTTACGTTTATAGGCGCGTAAACGTGGGGGTGGGGGAGTTAAACATTTTGGGGGGGGTTTTTTCCCTTTTTTTATATGTGACTTTTATTTTATTTTACTTTTTTATATGTTACTTTTTTTTTTTTTTATTTATATATATATTTTTTGCACTTATTGTTATTGCTATTATATAGGGGGATAACAATCCCCCTATATAATAGCAAAGGCACACTGACAGGTCCTCTTTATGGAGACATTAGGGGTCTCTAGGACCCCTAATGTCACCTGTGGACCCCAAAAGAAGCTGATGAAGCAGAGATCTGCTTTATCAGCTTCTTTTCTCTGGCTATAGCAGCCAGATGACTGACAGGTGAATGCGGAAGTGAAATAATACACATCACTTCTGCATTCACAGACCTGAGGGAGATCAGCAAGGAGCTGATCTCCCGTCCTCTTCCTCCTGACGCCCTCCGAGCCGGTCCAGGGCCACAGATGGGGCAGTGGATCCCGGGATTGAAGGTGAGGGGTCGGGGGAAGCAAAAAACCGGCGGCCACCGCGTGGGGGGTGGGGGGCGAAAAAACGAGCACATATAGACGATCGTCTATATGTGAAACACCCGGTAACGGGTGTTTGCATTGGTCGGGTCTTTTCTGCCCGTGCGTGCGCGAGCAGAAAAAAAAATGCCGTCTGGAGACGGCAACCCGCCAATGCTGCAGTGCCGTCCGTACGTTTTTTTACAACGGGCGGACGGCAAGTGGTTAAGATACACCTTAAATATTTGTTAATACCTGATCGACTGAAAACACTCGAATTCTCTCTGTGCCCAACCACTTTTGAAATTCTTTCCTCCAGTTCTTCACCAAACTCCCTGGGGTGACGATCAAAGCTCTCTTTATAATAGGCCTGCCTCCATAAGGACCTTGGCGCAGAAGGGTCCATATCAATACGATGCATTGAAGTGTTTTACCCAAACCCATTTCATCTGCCAGGATAGCTCCATACTGGCCAGAGACCCTATATGAAGGAGGACAAACAATTATCATCTCTTCTTAGCACAATAACTTAAAAGCTCTTAACACTTATCACACAAAAGAGGTTTTTATTTTCTGTATATACACAACAAAAGTCCCTAATTCTGTTCAGTGAAAATATACAGGACTGCTATATCACTGTATATATGCGTTATTATTAGGTTCTTTCTACAATCTAACAGTTCCCAGATTGTAAAATATGATATGGCATCTTCCTTTTCTACCTTTTGGTGTCCTGGCACAGTGGCAAGCCTGGTAGAAGCAAATTGAAATGGCGATTTTGTATTTTTTCAAGTTGACCAAAATGATTCCCCCCAGAATAGGAACTATACCAATCACACTGCTGAAAATAATTATGACTGGGGGTAGAAGAATGTAAATGTCAGAAATAAATTAAAGATGTGGGGGGTAGTATACAGTGGTACCTCGGTTCATTCGCGAACTGGAAGTTTGGCAAAATTTTGCTTCAGTTCGCGAACTCCGCATCAGGTGACGAACACAAGCGCAGCCATCTTCCTCGCTCTGACACATGGTCGTGGCTTCCTCTAGTCGAGATTGATTCGGTTGGCAACCAGAATCAAGGAACGAATTAAGTTTATGAACCGAGGTATCGCTGTATTAGTTTCTCCCATGCTATTGGAGGGGGTTAGTAAAAGGGAGTTGAGTGTGACGTTACATGAGGTACACACAATTATTGGGTATTTTGTATTAATGTATTCACATAATGAAAGGTAGAATAGACAACTGATTGGAAACTGTTAAATAATATAGTTAGTAAGCACAATATAAATAAGTTGCAATAATAAACTTTTCCTCTCCTCTACTTGGTTGGGCTTTGCAGATCTCTAAGAAAAGAGATAAACTAACCATTAACCATATGACGGCTGTGACTCTAGAGTCCAATTGAAGCCGGGATAATAGAATTAAGTAATGTCAATAAGGTACGGCAGTGTAAAGAGGTGGACATTAATCCTGTGCTGTATAGATAAGTAAGCAGAAGGGGGAGAATGGGATTTTGTTATATGTATAAATTGTCAGGTTGTATGTGGATATATGTATTAGTATATACTGTATGTCAATGTTATTTTTTCCTTCTTTTTCTATATAAAAATACTTATTAAGCAAAGAAAATTATTCTGACGCATTTTATAGTTTAGCTAATAGTTCTTATACGTAAAACTTGTTGGAGGAGCAGAAGCTTGAAGATTTTTACCTCATGCCCATCACACATTCATAAAGGAACAGAATGCCTTCTTTTTGATGCGTTCTCAGATGTACAGCCACATAAGGATCAACCACCACGTCTACAATAGGCAAACTGGACTTGCTGAACATTCTCTGAAGATCCTGGGACGGTCTGGGCATCACTATGGAATCTTCCAAAAGACAACACAAAGCATATAAACAGACACACAGTAGTTTTTGAATGGAAGGTGAATACAAAACTGATATTTTAGGTACAGGTACAATTTTCTGAATCACCCACTGCCATCTTATAATTCTTAAAGACATCTGCTGTATACTGGAGTTATCAGCTGTACCCCCTGCCACATAGTCACTCCTCATGCTTTGTTTTCCGTGGTGCAAAAATACTGAAAATTCTAACAGGCAACAAGAGACACACTTGGAATGGCTGTGTGTAGTAGGTGGCAGAGTACTTGGGTATAAAGGGGTCAGTAGATTTAACCTACTGGTATCTGAACATTTTTTATTTGATGCAGATGAACAGAGCAGGACGTTAAAGGGAACCCGTTACAGGACACGTGACTGTATGATGCTGCAGAGCTGTACTCTAACCCCAAAACTAGCACAGCTTCTGACAGCTGGTCAGGGCTAGATAAGATCCTCAGCTGTAACTAGAAACAGCCTTCCTGATAAAGTCACCAAACTATAAGTTACTATGCTGAATGCAATGGCAAAAAGTGTTTAACATTTGATAGTGTGAGAATCTTGTATACTAGATCAAAGCATCCTATCACTGGTACCAACAGCCAGCCCGGTCATTATTCATATGATAGATTTTTCTATCATATGAATACGTTCACATTAAAGGAGAACTATGAGGTGAGTGCTTTTCACTCACCTCATAGTTCTAGCCGACCTGTGACAATGAGACTATCACAGGTCGGCTCAGTAGATCGGGAGGTGAGCGAACACATACCGGCGTTCGCTCACCTCTTGATCCTGTCACTGCTCTCTGCCGTGACAGGGGAGGGTCTGGATTCCCCCCTCTGATCTGCCAGCGCTGACTGGTGGATCGGACTTGGCAGGGTACAGCTGGCTCTGCCTCTAGATAGGCAGACCCAGCTGTCAGTCACACAGCTGGGTGGATCCCGGCACAATTGTCGGGATCCCCTTCAGCTGCAGCGTCTCAGTATACCGCGAGCAGCAGCTTGCGGTATACTGCGGCGTCTCAGTATATAGCGAGCTACAGCTCGCGGTATACTGAGCCTAGGGAGACGGGAGGACGCTAGTTTGTGTCCTCCCGTTACCCTAAGGAGAACTATGGGGAAAAGACTTAACCCCATAGTTCTCCTTTAAATACGACAATGTACAGTACATTGCATGCATATATTCTGTATTTAAAACAAATGTCTGATATCATTTTGGGCTCAGAATGCCATCTAGGAAAACCCAGGATTTCTACCGATGTATTTTTTCGGAGATATAGCTAGAAAGAATAACCTAGAACATTACTGAACTCTATGACGTCTTTGCGCTATGCCTTTGCAGCAGTGGGGTCTTTAAATTTTACTACTTTGACTGTGTATGTTCTCCATGTGTTTATGTTGGCTTTCTTCCAGTCATCTTAGTTTCATCACAAAATCTGAAATCATACTGGTCACTTAAATTGTATCAGTGGGTTAGAACACCTGTCAGGTATTTAATGCGGTCATTAAAATAAAAAGCTAGCATGACAAAATGAAAATCCTTATGGAAAGTTTACTAGCGTCTCATTCTAGAAGAAAGAACCCCGACATTTGAGGACGCAGCTGCCTTCTTTATCAACATGTCAAACAGGGTATTTAATGCCCCGATGACCACTGTCACTTAGATGGAAAATCGGATCTGCGTTATGGAATAATTATAAAATTGTACAGCTGCTGTGCTAAAGATGAAGCACCTCTATATAGAACATAAACGAACATGCACTGCGCTATACAATCAGAATGTGTTTTCCCAAAATTCCAATTAGGCATAAAACATAAAAATAGAAATGACAAACACTCCATACCAAATAATATTGAAATCCTTTTACAAGTTCATAATAAGTGTTACGTACTGATATGACTGATCCCATCCGAGTTCTGGATGGTGCGCACGCTGTCCAGAAGACTCTTACGATGAAATGCGTTGACAGGCGGGCACATGCTGGGATCAGTACGTTAGAGAAGCAGTTTGCCGCATCTCTGAGGAGATAGACGAAAGTCTTTTTATGAAGCGATTGCTATTCTTTAGCTATGTGAGTGTTTTTATTTCTATCAATAAAGAGCGGTACTTGCAGCACAATTAGTTTTTGATGTTCTTATTCCGAGCGGATGAGGAAATGACTAAGAACGGGATCAGATGTCACGGAGGCAGAGTGAGAAGGAGACTGGGAAGCTGGATACAGCGCTAAATGCTTTATGACCATCTTACACAAGAGGTCATTGATCTCTGGTGAGTGCAGTATTTGTTTTGTATTGGCTTACACTTGGCGGATTCACATTGTACAGAGGATATACGGGACTGAAGACGGGTGTTTAAAGTGGAGTGTTTTCACATATTGGATTTTACTCTGAATCATTGTGTTGTGTATGAACACCGGGCTACACGGGAATAATCACAGATATCTATTTTTTGTTTGCACACTTATTATAGAACTTGTGAAAGGAATGAAATATATTTTTTGGTATGCCGTGTTTGTCCCATATTGGATTTTGATAGTTAAACACAGAATATTTCTTTTTTTCTGTTTTATGCATAATTGGAATTTTGGGAAAACACATTCTGATTGTATAGCGCAGTGCATGTTCCTTTATTATGTACTTAGATGGAAAGTAAGGGAAAATCCAATTTCCAGAACAAGAGGCGAAGGGAAATGTTTCAAAGAAAACACCTGCTCCAATGACAACTGTGAGGAGAATTCCAATTACTCGGCAGAGATTTCTTCTCACTTCCTGTTGTATCACCAGAACAGAAGGTGAAGGGAACGCTTCCCGATGGCACTCAGACAGCAAACAATAGAATAGGAAATGTAATCCTTCCCTACTCTACCCAAAACTTATGAAAACAGTTTGGGCTATACATACAATTTAATGTAATTTTCCCAAACTGGCCCCAGTGTGTGTTTTTGTGCCTGTAAACTATGCTGGGGCAACAGACTCTTGTACACCCAAAACTATAGGCATAGTTTGTGGGGATCCCTCTGTAAAGGCAGAGAATATTGTATCATACAGTCAGGGAACTAATACTAAAATTGTATTACTACAAGTTTACCAGTCATTAAATGTGGTGGCTACATTAGTTTTAATTTTTCAGCCTAAGAACATTTTCTACAAGTACAGAAATACTTGCTGAACTTGCCAGAAATGAAGTGCCCTTGTTACTTCCTGTGAGCTGAAAAGAAGGCACAAACACCCTTTTTTGTGAAAACTACTAGTTCCATCAATCCACACCATTGAGAAATAAATGTAGACATGATGAGACAGGAAGTGTGTTACTGGCAGTATACGGGGGGGGGCCTTGAAAAAAACAAATGCATTCATTACATCTAAGGAATGGTTAGTTGCAATGCAATAACAACCCAAGTGATTACCTCATCCTCACAAACAATTCTGTGAATATTTTACCCGTAATAAATCAACATTCATTGGATATAATAACAATGTGCTTCTAATTAAAATAAATGTAAAACATTTGTACCTGGTGTGCTGGGGTCATGGCGAGGTTTGCAGGTCTGGAGGTCTTTAGCTATAGTCTCTTTGCTGACATTTTTCATTGGGTTGGAGAATGGTTTGGGTTGGAGGAAATCTACGGGAGCGGGAGTGGGTGACACCACTGCTGAGTGGAAACATCTGCCACTAGTGTAATCCTCTGCTGTGATAGGGCCCATGACCTCAATCTCTTTTCCACCAATCATTAAGGTCTGCCCTTCTTCCAAGTTCTCCAGATCCTTCAGCTTGTATCCAGTGCCTGACAAAATGCATTTATGGGTCAGTAATATAGTGTACAGGGAGTGATACACTTATAATCAGATTAAAACAAGAAGCATAATATTTCAATTTACACGGCTGCAAAAGATACAAAAAAAACACCCTAAATGGAGATATGTCTGGGGACTGATCGGCTGGATGAGCAAAATGAGAGAGGCTTGTGACTGCAGCAAGCATATAGAACATTCACCACCATTACAATACAGGGAATTCTACTGAGAAGTGTATTTCCTATGCAAACGTTGTTTGGATAGAGTAAAGAAACTGATTGGAACAAACTCTGACCAGTCAATGGGGTTGCAAAATGGGAATGGTTGGTGCATTGATCATTGTAGATCTATAAGTATACATCGGCAACAGAATTTTTCCTACGGCTTAAACATACATGGCCACTAGGCGGCACTGTAACTGTTTGTTTGTGAAGGAGGTTTCATCTTACATCTGTAGCAGTACAATAGCCCTCTTGTATGGAAAATGTATACATGCAAAAAATTACATTTACATTTTACTGATGATCAGAAACAAAAAAAACTACCTCTCCCGATATCTTTGCCTTCCATATCCTTTAATGTCACCGATCTTCCTCTGGCAATGAGAATAGCATCTCCTTCCCATTTCTTATGCTTCTTCTTTGATGCCTTGCACCACACCACGCTGAAATACTTCACAAGTGAGCAGTCCTCTTCTTTCTCCTGAACTTTGTTTTGTGTATCCTGGTCCACTAAGTGCAATGATGCTGCAGAAAAGGGAGGAGAATCGTTCACTGGGTTAAACAATAGAACAACATCCAATACAAAATCTGCTTTATATAAAACAGACACAAATGAAACTGAATAGTCTAGGAGTTAGGAGAAATGAATTATAAAATATGTTTTACAAAGCTTTAGTGTTAGGAAGTGGTGTGAAATTCATACCGATATGCCAGTTAGTAAATTAGTGATGCTTGAGATGGAAATGATGAGGTAAGGAGTAAAGCAATAGATTTGGGTGTCATCAGCGTAGAGATAGTAGTGAAAGCCATGGCAGGTCATCAAGTCACCAGTGGAGAAGGTGTATATTTAAACCCTATTAATGAGCTCCTAAAAACAATCAGCTAGGGTAGTCTCTACACCAAGACACTCAGACAGTGATGTCTGCTGTGTGAATAGGATAAATACCCTGTTGATGTGCTTATAAAGTATTCTAAAATAGCACAATACAAAATATTGTACAAAAAAGGCTCCATTGTTCTCCACAGTAAGACTGGAGTAATTCTTCTTCTTAGGCTTGACACAGATCATATACTTCGGGCCAGCACAGCCCCAATGCATATGCTGTGAATGGAGCATAAGAAGATTTGTCAATGACAATTTGCCTCGTCATGGACGGGTACAGTTCACTCCAATGCATGTTGAACTGCATGCATGCAGTACTTTTTTTCAGCTCATCAGGCTGCGACACGGTACAACCACATCGCACCACGCTGTGCCCATAGAAACTTAACGAAATGTCACTTGTGACATTTCAATGAAGTTCTAAAACAAAAAATGGTTCAGCACTGCTAAAACATAATAGTGAATGTGAGCCGTAGTACAGCTGCTCCTTTGAATGCAGCCTAAATATTGCACCAAAACAAAAGCACAAACCGGTCTTCACCAAATGTCCAAAATAAATATTTATTAGGCTTTCACACATGAATGCTGTATGAGCATGCAGGCCATTAAGGGCAAAGTGACAGATTCTGTACAAAGAGGCCCCTGGCCCACTGATACCTGCCTTGAGAGCACTCCCCCAGAACTGGCAGCAAGCTGGTGTTGGGCACTGAGAGGAGTGGTGATATCAATCTATCATGTGACAATGCTTGAGACCAGCAATTGATTGCTAGACCCCAATACTGTGACAAGGGTGGTTACATGTTCCTCCATACTCTGAAGCCATGTACAATACTTTATGGCACACTTACCTTACAAGTGTGCCCTTCTCCAGCGCTGTCGGACCAACTTCAGTCCCCAAGCTCTGTGAACACTAATACTTCCGGATTTTTATAGGTCCTTTTCGGCCATTAAGTGGCCACTGATGATGTAACTCTTGCGCATGTGCAGAAGAGATGCATCCTCCCCAGTACCTGGTCCATTCATGGCATCTTAGTGCATGCACCGTACAGTGAACACAGAAATAGTGTTAAAAAAAAAAAATCGATGGGGAGCAAAATTTGTTTTGCCAGAAAAGACTTTGCATGTCTTTTCTGCCAAAACTCCCTACCTCCCAGTGATTTTTCTTTACAGACTTTATTTCTGCTTTAAAATGTCGCTGTGCTCTGCCCATGCAGGGCAAAGCAGTTGAACTTTAATGCAGACCACCACAGACGTATACTTGCCTTCATTTTGCTTTGACGCTCTATTTGGCCACTGGGAGTTGAATGAAAGCATGATGTAAGCGACTACATATTGTGGAAGCCGTAGTTTACAAGTGGGGAAAAAAAATGATGAGCATATGTTGTTTTATTTTACACAACAGTCTTTAAGCAATCATTTTAAACTTTAATGTTTTTAAGCGTGCTTCCTTTAGATGCCCCTGTGCCTCTCTCTCTGTGAGGTACAGTGACCGATGGAGGCAACAGTTTACCTTTTAAACAAACCCAAGTGATCAACGGGATTGGCTGTCATGGTGTTTACATGATCAAGAAGCAGTCAGCGTGCTTCTCAATAGCTAGAATAAGTCCTCTCAGCATATGAATTGTACTGAGGAATGTTAATCTACAGATTGCAGAATTGATGTGTTAAAGAATGGCAAGCGCAGACTGGGAGGTAAGCTTTTGCATTTTAGCAGCCCTTTTTCTCCTTTTGAAGCACAGAGACACAATAAATAATGGGTCTGAGATCTGAATAGCTCTTTTATACCAAAGACCAAACAAACATTTTGCAACATTTAAAGGTTTCTTTTATTCTGAAAGAAAATGGTTTATACAGTGATAAACTCATTACTCAGAATTATAAAAGAAAAACAAAAAACACAAACAAGTTTCAAATAGAATATTACAGATTACCGTACATATTCCCTACAGTCTGTGTAACCCTTTGGAACCCAAAGGAATTTGGAGGAAAACAACCGTTTCCTGCTGGCCACGTCAGTATGCCTTATGTCGCTGGCTTTCACCCTTCTGCTATAAGATCATGGTCGCTTCAGTGACCATGAACTTATGACAGAAGAGTCCCCCTGACGGTCCCCTGTAAATTAATACCTGTAATCAGCGGCTGAAATATGTAGCTTACATCATACTTTCTTTCAACTCCCAGTGGCCGAATAGAGCATCAAGAAAGCAAAATGAAGGCAAGTATATATATCTGACAGCTATTCTGGGGCTCTGCACCTCTCTCTCCTTTGGACACCTGCCGTCTCCATGTTTCGATCTGTGTGCCCTCCAATCCTTGCTGCTTTTCCCCGCCTGCATCAGCAGAGGCAGTGGGGATTGGAGGGGACACAGACTGCTGCAGGAGAGCCACTGTCAGAATGGGGTGTGGGGCAGTGATAGGCGGAGCTTCAGGATGCCGAGCGGAGGATTGGTAAATGTGTAATATTTACCCATCTGTCCTTGTACTGAGCAAACACTGGAGTGATCAGCACTGTTTACTCCAGTGTTTGTAAATAACTGAGGACATAGTATGCTTATCATAGCCCCAGTTATGAATAAACAGGAAGAGCTATACATCAATTCCTGTTCATTCATAAATGGGGACATAGTAAACTCACTATATGCTCAGTTTATGAATGAACAGGAGTACTCAGTACAGAGGCTCACTGGCCATTCATAACTGGGGGGAGTACTGTGTCTCCTCAGTTTGTGAATGAACAGGAAGCCTCTGTACTGAGTGCTCCTCTTCATTTAGTGCTGGGGGTGTCCTCAATTTTTTTCTATTTCAAAAGGGATATATCAGGGGTCTATTTAGACCCTTGATGTTTCCGTAAAGCCCCCTAACAGTATAAACAAACAAAAAAATGAAAATAAAGAATAAAATCGTGAAAAAAGAAAAACATTAATAAATAACCCCTCCCACATACACACAGATAACATACACATGCAACAGTGTGCAGCATATTGTGGTGTATGTCTTGCACACGATTTTTTTGTTGCTGTTGTTGTGATGCATTGTCATACGCTGTGTTGCAATTAAATGTATGCCTTCATCATTTTATCAAACAATACCAACACAGCACACAAACTGCACTGCAGATCAGGCGTTAGCACAACACAAATTTTTAGCATAAGTTTCTTATTTACAGTTTTGCACTTCTTAATTTCTTTACCGTTTCGCAAAAAGGAGCAATTTAGAATTCACAAATATTTGTTATTTATAACCTTGTAAAACTTTTATATTTAGTCAGAAAAGTGTTTTTATTTTTGCATTGATACTGATTTTAGTGTGCTTTTATCAATTTAATTGTATATTTTTATCGGTTTAATATTGATTTGATAAACATTTGCGCAATTATTGCAGGACCTACAAAATTAGTAGCACCATCTTTTTATTCTACCGGTCCTGTGCTTTCAGGAAATGTATGGTTTGGGGGTATTTTACCTTCCTCAAAAGCTGCAGTTGAAAATTAAAAACGAAAAAGGTGAAAAATTGCAAAAATGGTCTGGCCAGCTGAGGTCAAAAGGGGAACACAGGGCTTGGCAGCAAAAGGGTTAAAGGAAACATTTGACAAATCAGATACATGTAATATTTTTGTTTTACTATATCTTGATGACACTAGAAAAGAATGGGACATGGCAGAGCCGGACGGCACAGTCGTATTGGCGCGCACAGCGGAAAAAACCCGTCCAATGTAAAAAGCCATTACCGGCTGTTTCACATATACACGAAAGGCGGCTCCATAGCCTGCCGATCGTGTGTATGTGCTGGCTGCGTGAACCCCCCTCTTGAGTGCCGCCGCTGTGATTGTGCCGCCCCCCTGACACCTTCAATCCCGGGATCCGCTACCCCATCTGCGGCCCTGGAGGGTGTGAGGAGGTAAGATGGGAGGGCGTTCAGCATCTTCCTCCTTGCTGATCTCCCTCCGTTCTGTGAATGCAGAAGTAATGTGTAAATACATCACTTCCGCATTCACCTGTCATTGCCAGACAATTGCACGCTGCTATTGCCAGAGAGAAGAAGCTGATGACGCAGATATCTGCTTCATCAGCTTCTTTTGGGGTCCCCAGATGACATTAGGGGTCTTAGAGACCCCTAATGTCTCCATAAAGAGGACCTGTCAGTGTGCCTTTGCTAAAAAAAAAAAAGTCACATATAAAAAGTCCCCCACGTTTACACACATATAAACGTAAATACATGTCAGGTGCACCAGTGCGCGAAAACGACAATTGCGCTACACACGTTACATATCGCCGCGAACTTCGCAGTGAGAGCAATCATTTTAGGGCCATCAATCACTGATAACACTAAACTGATGAGCGGTAAAAGCTTTTAAAGCGTCAGCGTAAACAGACAGACCCCTGATATTTTCATTTTAAATTAGAAAGAGACTGAGGACACAGAGTCCTACATCTCTTATTCTGCAGCCCCTGTTATAAATGAACAGAAAGCCTGTAATACGGAGTGTTCCTGTTCATTCATAACTTGTGGAGCTAGTATGTTTACTATGTCCACAATCATGAATGAACAGGAAGTGATGTAGAGCCCTTACTGTTCATTCATAATTGGGCACACAATAAACACTCAGTCCTCCATTATTTAAAAACATCAGATCGCAGA